AAAAAAAAAAAAAAAAAAAAAAAAAAAAAAAACTCAATTTTGAGATGGAAATTTTTGTTTTCTCATTATTGAAATGATTATTAGAAAAAAAAACTAAACTAATTATAAGAATTTGGGAATAATCCCACTGATTAATTCTATTTTATTTCATCAAATAAGTTTTTATTTAATGTTTTGAAATCATATATATACATATATATATATATAAGTTAATCATATAAATAAAATTTAGTTTCCATTCAAAATGAAATTTGAAAATTTATATGTATTTCAAATATTTTTTTACATTGCAATTAAACAAAAAATAAAGGGAAAAAATGTACACTTATCGCAAATTCATATTAGGGTAAAAAACTTTAATATCTATAAATAATATTATGTTAATTTGCAATGAATTTCTCATTTTATTTTGAAAAAAAAAAAAAAAAGCAAGTTGTTGCGAATTTGCAACATATTTTTTCAACTATTGAAACGACGAGATTAATAATGATATAGTTTTCATAAACAGCTTGGCAAAGGAAAAAAAGCCCTAAATTTAATTTTGTTACAGATTTATTTATTTATTTATTTATTATTATTTTGATGCCATTCTACATCTATTTTTAAATAAAGGAAAAAACCAATTTACTCTTAAAACAAAAAATTAATAATTGTATCGATTTAAATTTTAAACTTTTTTAGGAATAATAATATATAGAACATTTGCCTGGTTGTTTACAGATTATTTAATTTAATTTAATTTAAAATAAGCTCAAAATTGTCTACATATAATTATTAATCTCCCGTGTTTGGTTAATTTATATTAATTATTTTCATTAAATATATAAAAATTAGTAAGAGTTGTAATTTATACCATACAAATTGAAGGGGTATAAATTCATTCTTTAGAGCAAACGTGTCCCTTTATGTAATATGTCATCGATGACTTGTCTTAATCAAAGTTTGTTGAATGATTCTTCAAAGAAATTTCATAATATAAATAATTAAATTATAATTTGGATTGGGCCAAAACTACTCTCAATATGGGCCGCACGGCCCATATGGCATTCGAACTTCTCACTTCCAAGGACATGCACGGCCCATTTATCGGCCCATTCTCAGCTCTTAAGGCCCATTTACCAAAATATCGTCTTCCTGCTTGACATTGAAACCACAAACACAGTTCCCTCTCCCAGTTCACTCCCGTCTCTTCTGACGGCATTTACGCTTCTGCAACTCGCCGCCCGGTGAGTAATCGCCGATCAAATTCCGGCTTGGAATGTAATTCGAAAGCCCTTCCAAGCTTGGCCGCCTTCCAATGTTTGTCTATGTGCGTTGCCTACAGAACTCTTTTAAGGTACACTGGTCTTCTTCTCTGAGTCCATTTCAAACCCTAACTCCCAAGTTCTTAAACAAGTACAGTTCTTCGTCTTCTTCTGATTCGAGCACTTGTGCTTTTGATTATATTGCTCAATTTTTGCCTTCCAACGATGGTACTTTGAAATTGGTTTCTGTGAGTTCCGTCACTACAAATGACCGACGTAGAATCACTGTTGGGTTATCCAAAGCGATTAAGTTGTACCAGGGATACGCATTGAAGGAACTATCGAGAAATTTCTGCCCCTTTTTCTTGGTTAAGATTATGAAACTGTTTGAATGTCGGGAAACTGCGTTTGCGTTCTTCAAGCTAGCGTTTAATGACGATTGTGAAGATACTGTAAGGTCTTGTTGTGTAGTGGCACATCTCTTAGCTGCAGAACGATTTTTTTTGCTCGCGCAAGATATTGTTTCGTGGATTTTTGCAAGAATTGGTCCACGAAGAAGCAAGAATTTGGCGGCATTTATGTGGGAAGGTCACTGTGATTACGAATCTGACCTTTCAGTTTTGAACACTCTAATGCGGGGGTTTATGAAGTCGGAAATGCATTATGAGGCGTTAGAAATATTGAGTAAGATGCGGGAGGTGGGAGTGATGCCAAATGCATCCGCCATTTCCATTCTTTTTAGATTGCTGCTTAGAGCTGGTGATTATGGTGCTGTATGGAAGTTGTTTGGGGACGTGGTTCGGAAGGGACCTTGCCCTAATAACTATATGTTTAATGTAATGATTCTTGAGTTTTGTAGAAAAGGTTGGAGTGTGATTGGAGAAGGTCTATTGCATGTAATGAGAAAATTTAGATGTGAACCAGATGTTTATTCGTATAATATTGTGATAAATGCAACCTGCTTAAGAGGGCAGTCATCAGATGCACTTCATTGGGTGAATTTGATGATTGCAAATGGCTGTAAACCCAGTATTGCTACATTCAGTATCGTCATCGATGCCTTCTGTAAGGAGGGAAACGTGGAGTTAGCTAGGAAACTCTTTGATGAAATTGAAGACATGGGTCTTTCTCATAATACTATAGTCTATAATAGCATGATAAGCGGGTATGTCAAGGCAAGAGACATTGGTCAAGCAAACTTGCTCTTTGAAGAAATGAGGACCAAGGATATAGTTCCTGATGGCATTACCTTTAATATATTGGTTGCTGGTCATTACAGATATGGAAGGGAGGAGGACGGGGATCGGTTATTAAGGGATTTATCTGTGTCTGGGTTGCTTCATGATGCATCCCTATGCGATGTAACCGTTGCAGGATTATGCTGGGCAGGTAGATATGACGAAGCCATGAAGTTTTTAGAGGATTTACTTGAGAAGGGAATTCCTCCAAGTGTAGTAGCTTTTAATTCCATTATTGCAGCATACGGCAGTGCAGGTTTAGAAGAGAGAGCATTTTATGCTTATGGTACAATGACGAAATTTGGTTTAAGCCCTTCATCTTCCACATGTAGTTCCTTGCTTATCAGCTTAGTTAGGAAGGGGAGACTTGATGATGCAAGGATAATTTTGTACGACATGATAGAAAAAGGATACCCTGTCAAGAACATGGCTTTTACAGGTCTTTTCGATGGGTACTTCAGAATAGGAGATGTTAATACAGCTGAAAGTCTGTGGAATGAGATGAAGGGTAGGGGGGTGTTTCCTGACGCTGTTGCATTTGCAGCTTTCATTAATGGGCTCTGTATGTCGGGTTTGATGGAGGACGCTTATGATGTGTTCTCTGATATGTTGAGAAAGGGGTTTGTACCGAATAATTTTGTTTACAATTCCTTGATTGGTGGATTCTGTAGAGTGGGAAAACTAAATGAAGCCCTGAAATTGGAGAGAGAAATGAAGAAAAGAGGCCTTCTTCCCGATATTTTTACGACGAATATGATCATTGGTGGGTTATGCAAACAAGGTAGGATGAAGTTAGCAATTGAGACGTTCATGGACATGTATAGGATCGGTTTATCTCCTGATATTGTTACTTACAACACATTGATTGATGGTTACTGTAAAGCATTTGATATGGGTGGTGCAGATGATTTAGTGATGAAAATGTCGGATAGTGGGTGGGAACCTGATATCATGACTTATAATATACGAATTCATGGTTTCTGCACAGCCCGAAAAGTTAATCGGGCTGTACAGATACTAGAGGAACTTATTTCAGCTGGAGTAGTTCCGAATACTGTAACATACAATACCATGATTAATGCTGTCTGTAATGTCCTCCTGGATCATGCTATGATTTTAACTGCGAAATTGCTTAAGATGGCGTTTGTTCCAAACACTGTCACAGCAAACGTATTACTGTCTCAATTTTGTAAGCAAGGGATGCCTGAGAAAGCCATATTTTGGGGTCAGAAGTTGAGTGAGATTCGTGTTGATTTCGATGAAACGACACATAAAATAATGAACAGGGCCTACCATATTATTCAAGAAGGTGGCGAGCATATAAATGCATCATATGAGAAAAGCGTCTTCATGGATTTTCTCATGTATATTACTTATGATTACTTCTGTAGAACTAAACCCTCACAAGAGAAAGATGAGAGCTTAACTTTTAAAACTAGTTTCAGTCAGTTCAATAGGATGATTGAGGTATAAGCTTTATCTCTTATTCAACTCTTTGAGCATGATCTACTTGCAGAATGATTGTTCTAGAAATGCATCTTTGAGGAATATATTTATTATTATCTGGCTTGTGAGCTGCTGTAGAATTTGTTTTAGTGCTATGGAAAGAAAGGTAGTAATAAGAAAGATACTATTCCCTCTTAAATTTTCAGGACTACCCATACAAAATATGCATCCCTATTGGGTATGATGCTGATATTCATAATTCACTAAACGATGATCGAAGAAGCCCCTCCCTCTGAAAGAAGAAGAAAGGCAGTATCCTTGATTGTTCGAGAGAAAAGGATAATGACACCCAAGCTTGTGACATCCCCTTCTACCTAATGGCATGTTTAAGTTATGTGGAGATTCAGGTATCAAGGAAATTTGGTGACCCATGGTCCTCTAAATCGGAGATGCCTTCAACTTAGATGTAAAACAATGATAGAAAACTCAAACTAGCTGCTTTCACCCGTTAGTTTCCTCATATTTCATCCTGAATAAACAAAAACCAGAGAGTGCTAACGTTCTTAAGGCATCGATCAACAATTCATATTCAAAAGCAGAAAAGTTAGAAATCATGACCCAAACAGAGAATATAATGGTTGAACTCTTAAATTGAGATCATGTCAATTTTGCACCCGATTTGCAAGGTTTGGGGAACTTCAAATATTATCAGAGTGAAGGATCATTAACTAGAGCATTCTCTCGAAGTTCCTGATACACCAACAAAGAGAAAAATGTACTTGGAGGAATCATCCTTTGAGGTAATACTATGAAACTTGCCTTGAATAAGGCAAAGTCCATTTAAATCTTGTGGTTTTGTTTTGTTTTGTTTTGCTTTTTTTTTTTTTTTTTTTTTTTTTTTTTTTTTTTTTTTTTTTTTTTTTTTTT